GCTCTGTTGCCCAGGCTGGAGTGCAGTGGTGTGATCTCGGCTCACTGCAAGCTCCGCCTCCCGGGTTCACGCCATTCTCCTGCCTCAGCCTCCGCAGTACCTGGGACTACAGGCGCCCGCCACCGCGCCCGGCTAATTTTTTGTATTTTTAGTAGAGACGGGGTTTCACCTTGTTAGCCAGGATCGTCTCGATCTCCCGAACTTGTGATCTGCCCGCCTCGGCCTCCCAAAGTGCTGGGATCATAGGCGTGAGCCACCGCGCCCGGCCAAATCTGCGTATTTTATGATTCCTCTGAGAGCTATCCTTTCACATACTTTTCCTTTAAAACTTAACGTGATGAGTATTCCAGCTTTAGCTTTTACATACTCTGACCAACTGGAAAAACTATTAATCACTTCCTAGAAACAGTGTATTACATGCCAGTTTTCTTACCCTACATTTTTAAAGTGGTGAACTTTTAAAAATGTTACTAAGGTCTTTTTTAGTCTAGTTTATGAAATTAGGGTAAAAGAGGAAGGATATATACAAATGTTTTCAATGGTGGGTCACAAATATTATATAATTTAATGAAATAGTGATATATTTTGCTTTTCCAGTCTTTTGTAGACAACAAAGTGTACTTCCTGAAATTCTGCCAACGTCGATAGTTTCTGTTAATAAACTTCATGGTCATCTCTGTGTAAGACTGTAATGAGGCACAGTCTTCTGACTGGCATTAATGTATCAGGTTTGAGTAAGTACATCTTCCCCTCAGCTAGGAACATTTATATTAGATAGCTATGTGAGTGAAAAATAAACTTCTATTGTACAAAGCTGTCTTAGCAAATTTAATGATGCACTCTTATGGTCAATTGTTTATAAAAGTTGTATTAATTTTTGAGTTTTAATATTGGATATGTATACATATATATTTATCAGTACAAGCGGTTATACTTGAATATGGTTTTTGTTTTGTTTTTTCTTCTGGATTATCTCATTTTTAGAGATTTGGTCTTCATTCCTTAGAATCATTTTTCCAGTTAAAGATTATTTGGGGACAATTTTGAATTAAAAATAACATTTATCTATGTTAAATGTAAGAATCTAATGTTAAATGGTAATTTTTAATAGTTTAATTCATGCATATGTACCTGTGATAAGTCAGATCAAAATTTTTCTGTCAAAGGTACTGCTTATGTTTCCATATGTTTTAATTTTTTAATTATACACTGATGTTTTAGAAAATTGACCTTGGATGACACATCGTGTCATAAGGAATATATGGAATGTAGTAATAAGAACAAGAATTTATATTAAAATTTTTTGATGCCATAATTTTAGAAATGAACAGCTACTTTTTTCAGAGTGATATTTGAAATTCCACCTTTGATAATGTGACCATTTTAAAACAAAAACACATTTTTTGATACTTCTCCCATCAAAAGGTTGTTCTAATTCCCTTCCTGTTGATGTGGATCAGTTTTACAGACTCGTCTCAAACAGACTGAGGCAGAAGTAACGTGTATAACTTATGAAGCCAGGTTAGAAAAGGAGACACAGATCCCATCTGTTTCTCTCCCCCTTGTAACTCTGCTTTGGAAGCTATGAGTCGACATGTATGGAGGCACCAGGCTGGAGACAGCACATAGAGTTAATGACCACATAACCACTAGATATACAAGCAAATCTTTGGGTGATGCCAGCCTACAACCTTTGGGCTACTCCAGCTGATGGCAAGTGGAACAGAGATAGGCGACTTCCACAGAACTCTACCCCAACTACAGATTTGTGAGCATAGTAAATATTGTTTTCATTTTGGAAGTGTTGCATGGCAATAGATAACCAGAAAACATAATTCATTAAAACCCTCAGCAACTCAGTCAATATGAAATACTTGGCTTTCTTACGAGGGAAAAATGAGGTGTTAAAAGGAATTTTCCAACCAGATTCATAATTGTTTAGAACATGATATTGTCCCAATACCAGTTTTCTTGTGAACATAATTCACTTGTAAAACAACTTGAAAAAACCTTACGAATAATAAGTTGCATGTTTCCGAAGTGAACAAAAAACACATACCTACAGAGAAACAAATACATCAACATTAAGCAATAGAATATCGTAGTTTGAGGACAGCAAGTGTGTCTATAAATCTCAGTGCTAGCCAAGCTGTATCACGAGGCCGGGAATTACCTATGCTGCTTCTAGCAAGAAAGATGCTGTCATTCATTTTGGATGAGCTTCAGTGAGATAACACATAATGAGGGGCAACAGCTGAGGAAGGGAATGCCAAAGAGGAGGGGTCTTTAAAATGGTTTTGATTTAATACAAGGCATGCGCTATTAATAAAGAGGTTGAATGATACCTGTATGTTTTATAGGTTTATAAATTGGCTGTAGTAAAATGTTTTACATCTTAGATCACTAGGTATTGTTTCATCTTATTATGGGAGATATCTATCTAGAGTTGACTGAATTGTATTAATCTGAACCTAGTTTAATGATGCCTTAACATTTTTATGGGGGAATTTAATGTTTGCAATATCCATGTTCCTTATTTGAAAGCGTGACTTATAGGTTTCTCATCTTCCTTAAATTATAAAATCCTTCAGCTAATAAAGGAAAATGATTATAGTTTGCAAAAAAGGCAAAGTCATTTAACAATCCATATAACTGTCTATTGTAGGGCTTTGCATAATAATTGTAATTTAGCTATTAAAGATTCTAAAGGCAGTTATCAGTCATACTCTACAATTCTGGGGAATCAGGCAAAGCCCAAATTATTTAAAGTATTTTAAATTCCCAAAGAAAT